CCAGTGTCTGAGTGTTTGGTTGGAAAACCAGGACACTCTTCTAAGGGCCCCAACAGCCTACCCCCTGCTGTTGTTTTTGACAACCCTGTAATCACATGTTCTTACAAGGAGCCTTTAATTCTCTGTAATGCTAAGCCTGCACTTCTTTTGAAGGGCAAAAGGCAAGACTGCTGAGTCATGGTGGCCATTTTTAGATGAACTTCTTCCTGTTTATAAGAAAGTAATACATGCTGATTGCAAAAAAAACAACAAAAGCATGTGAAAGTATGAGAAAGCCTAAAAGTCGTCTATAACTCCTGGTCAAAGAGGTAACCGCGCAGCACACCTGTAATATTCGCCACAGTTAGCACTGTGTCAGTTCACGCTTGCGTTTCACTTGGGTGCATCATTAGATCATAAATCTTTCTTATGTCCTAGAAATTGTTCCTTATTATTTTTAAAGGTTTCCTAGAGCTGTATTAATAGTTTTTATAAATTATGCTTTATAATGTATTTTTTTTTTTATTTTTTAGAAGAAGCATTTCATTACAGCTTTAACATACTCAATAACAGTTTCCAGAGCAAAGATACATAAGTGGCTATAAAATTTTTAGGTTCACAGTTGAATTAATACAGTTATACAATATTGAACTCAGTATAAACCCTGTAAGACATAAAATTGAATAAGCTTTTAACCTTTTATAATGTATTTTATAATCTTATGGATAATACTGTAGAGAATATGTTTGTGAATAAACTTATCCTTCTAGCAGCTTATTTGTGTGTGTGTTTGTGTGCACTCTGTTTGTGTGCACTGTGTGTGCACTGTGTGTTTGTGTGCACTGTGTGTGCCACAGAACATGTGTGGAGATCAGAGGACAACTTGCAGACGTCAGTCCTTTCCTTCCACCATGTGTTCTGGGGATGGAACTCAGGTCATCAGGCTTGGCAGCAAGTACCTTTACCCACAGGAGCCATGTTACAAGCCCAAGCTTAACTTTTAAACTCGAATTTATTTTAGAGACAGGATCTCACTATATTGCACAGGCTGGTCCCGAACTCCAGGGCTAAGGTGAGTCTCCTACCTCAGCTTCCTGAGTAGCTGGGACTATAGGCATGAACCAATTGTTGGAGAATGCTTATCTCATCTCAGCCTCCCAAATATTGCATATTCTTGCATCATTCGATCTTGAATCATGGTTACACAATGTTTCTTTCAGAGATAGTAAAGTTCAGAATTTTCAAGTGTTCATTGATAATCTATATTTCTTCTTTTGTGAACTGCCATTAGTTCTTTGTTTTTTTTTTTTTTTTTTTTTTGGTCTTTTTGAGACAGGGTCTCCCTGTAGCCCCAGCTGCCCTGGAACTCACTATGTAGACCAGGCTGGCCTTGAACTCACCAAGATCCACCTGCCTCTGCCTCCGGAGTGCTGGGATTAAAGGCATGCGCCACCACACCCGGCAGTTCTTTCCTTTTAAAAAAAAAAAAATTTTTTTTTTTGAGCAAGGCCTTGGCTTTGATCCCAATACTGCAGAGAAGAAATCATTCTGAGTTTTAGTTCTCCTCAGACTGTGTACTCGTTGTGGATAAAACTTTCTGCCAGTGTGTGTCAAAGTAAAGCAGAATCCTTTTGCTTCACTAAGACATGAGCTTAGATTCCAGTTCAGCATGTGGGTTTTGAAGGCCACACGAGGGAGGTGATTTCTACTCGAAGGGAAAACAAATTCCCACTTAGAAAATAGTAGGAAAAATTCTCAGAAGATTAGTTTGAGGCCGAGTTTTGTTTAAGTGTCTCTAAAATTATCCAACTGGAGAAAGGGATGATGGCTGAAGGGACACAAACAGTGAATGAGAACTTTATTTTATCCTAAATTATTATGTAAATTTATGAATTTTATCCCAAGTTATGTTCTTGCCAGGAGCAGCTTACATGAAGGTGTGGTTAAGAGACTACCAGATTCCTGGAGGACTGTTGCTTTAACAACTCTAGCCGTCTTTGTGTGGGGCCAGTTGTGGCTTCCAACCCTGAACTGCATGCCAGATAGCCGAGAGAAATGATGAGTCAGAGACCTTTTTCACAACATAGCTTTATATGCCTGGCTGGCAGGAATATTTCCTGTCTGTAAGAACTCCCGGGAAGGACTGGATAAGCAGGGAGTCTACTGCTTTTGATGCTTGCTTATTTACTTAAGATGGCTGAAGGACCACTTGCCTGCTCAAAAGGAAATATACACACTGCTCACAATGCCTGGTATCCCCGCCTGAGGGAAGGTTTGTAGTTCCAACCTCCGTCCCCAGCTATGCCTGGTACTTTTTTCCTTTGATGCAAAACCATCTGTTAGCTTACACATTATAGAACTGTGCTGATCATGTAAGTGCATGGTTTATAACTTACTATTTGCCACTGTTCCTAATCATGGCTTTAGCTAGTACATTCTTATCTCAGTATTTGAGACCCCCTCACAAACTCCCTTCACCTCTACTTGGTCTTATTTATATATGAACCTCCTCAGTCTCTTATTTCATGGGTCCTTCCTCAGTGTGTCCTGGTATTCAGGCTCTGACTTTAGGTAGTAAGGTTTATGTAGCTTCCCATCACTCACCCAACTCACCACCTGAAAGTTTGTGTCCCTAACATGGTCCACTAACATGTCCCATTCATTATGTATTTCATACTTCCTTACAGTGTCTCTGAGAGGAATGGCGTTTGGAGAAAGTCCCTTTCAGTCAGCGTTCCCTCTCCAGGAGGATGCCGACCCAACAAAGCTGAATATCTGCTTTTCTTTATCAGTGAAAACTGTCAAATCCTCTGCCTGGCAGGTGTTCCTATGTTCTGGAGAAGGCTACCAAGGAGGGTGAAGGGCCACTGCCACCCAGGAACCCTCTTTTCTTGGGCAGAATTAAAAATCCTTCCTTCTGCTTCTTTGGAAATAGGGCCCTCTGACTGTCACTACACACCCACCTCTCAGACTCCTAGTCCTCTTGCTGTCCCCTCCCTCAGTTCCCACCACAGTGGCTTCCTTTTGTATCTTCCAAAAATCCTCAGGCAAGCTCAGGACTTCGGTCACTGACATCTCCCCCACCTCCCACCCCTTCAGGGCTCTGCTCAAGTGTTCCTCATGTAGGGACACCATCCTTGGATGGCACTGTGGAAACTGCGACACCCTCCTCTTCAATGCACGCCCCCCCCCCACTCTCTGTCCTTCCTCCACAGCACACATCACCACGTGACAAAGTGCTGTACTCAGATGGATGGAATGCTATGAGGGCAAGGACCTTTGTTGTTCAGGCTTTGGTTTTTGTTTTACTTGTGTGTGTTCCTGTGTATTGTAAGTGAATGTGCACACGTGGAGGCCAGAGAACAACCTTGGGGATGTCATTCTTTAGGAAGGCCTTTCATTGGCCCAGAGCTCACCAATTAGGCTAGGCTGGCTGGCCAGTGAGCCTCAGGGTTACACCTGTCTCTGCCTCTGCAGCGCTGCTGGGATTACAAGCACAAGCCACCATGCCTGGTTTTTTATGTGGGTGTTGGGTTTTGAACTCAGATCCTCATGCTTGCATAGCAAACACTTTACCAATTGTGCCACCTCAATCCCTGATGTTCAGTTTTATATCTATCATTGCTATCTCTATCTATCATTGATCTGTCAATCCAAAAGTCTATCTTTTCCCTTCTGTCCTCAGCATGTGAGGCTGTTCCTGGCACCAAGAAGACATTCAGTAATAATCTCCTGAATGACAGAGCTGACTCACTGAATGTCAGTACTAGCACGTACAGTTTCTCATAAGCTTCTCTCTCTGTTTATTTTCTTGACCTGCTTCTCTGGCCTGGCTGTCCTCTGGATCTGTTAAAGAAATTCTTCCCACAACCACCTGGATTCAAGTTTCTGTCTTGTCACTGGTTGCATCATTTCTGTGTGCCTCACACACTGCTGTGCAATGCTCCACTCTCAGGTTCTGCGTGGGGCTTGGAGTTAACATGAGTTGGTATTCTCATAAATGAACCAGTGCCTGGTACATGCTAAGTACATGTGTGTGCTCCGATCCTGAGCTGAAGCAGTGATTCTGAGGGAGTGAAGGCATCTGAGGAGAGAGTGATGTAGAGATGCAGTGGAATATGTAGAAGAACAGGCTGTGCTGGACAGACCACGCCAGAACAATGGAATCTGACCACTGGCTAGGGAGACCAAGGGTGAGTGCTTCCTTGTCAGAGGAGACCATTGGCCCTGGCTAAAATCTTTCTGGCAGAACATGTTTAAGATTAGTGTGTTCATGGCTTAGGTGTGGTACTCACAAAAATAAAAAAGGAAAGAGAAAGGGAAGTGTGTCATGTTTCCTTTGGCAGAAATATGAGCCTGTGTTATAATTTTTCAAAACGGGACGAGGGGAGCCTTGTTTCTTGAGTGTTTTGATGGTGGCAGCTCCCTGGTGGCAAGGTGTTCTCTTTCGGTGGCCATTCTCACCCCCAAGCTCCTATGCTACAATGAATGCTGCAATGTTTGGATTCACATTCCTCCACATAAATAAAAACAGCCTTTCCAGCAGAAATGGGACTGCACCAGGAGACTGATGGTCAGACGGCTGTGAAGTTTGACAAGTCGTTGAAGTAGCTGTTTAAATGGTTCCATTAATACTAACTTGGTATTTGTTCGATTGTTTTGCTGCCTGTTAGCTTTGGCTAACAGATAACCCAGCAGGGGACAAAGGTTACGAAAACTTTAAAGGTAGAAAACCATCCTTAAAGATGAACACTGGACACCAGACCAGGGGAACCATCTTCCTTTGGTTTGCTTTGGTAGGCCTCTGAGCTGAGTTTACAAGAGGCTGAGATTACAAGAGGACCCGTCTTCCTAGGAACTAGTGCCAGTTTGCTGCTCTTTTCTCTCTTCTGCAACTCCAAGGAGATCCCACCTCCCTTCCCAGGCTAGGATTTCATCATGTGACTCTACAGATGCTGGATTTGGTCATTCAATGAGCAGCGACCCTGGAGAAATCAGGGACACACGGGGCAAATGAAGCCATGCTCTAGCCTGGAGACACATGCCAACTACATTTTAAAGGTGATAATTAGAACTTTGAAAAAGTTCTGTGAAGGAAATAAACAGGGTAAAGTGAGGGAGAGAAATTAGCAAGAAGATATGAGGGTTCCATAATATTAGATGGTCAGGGAAGAGTGCATGCAGTAGAGGCATTTGGTTCGCAGCCTGAAAGGGTTTCCCCTTAACCAACAATTGCTGAAGTAATTGATGAACTGGCTGAGAAAGGAAAACCCAAACTCCAAACTATTTCAGGCTGTCACCTCACTCTACATGCCAAAATAAATTTCACAGATTCAAGAATAAACATGTAAAAAAATTCTAGGAAAAACAAACATTTGATTTGTGAATGAGAAAGAACATTCTGAACTTTTAACAAACCAGAATCACAAGGAAAAAGAACACAGATTTAACTATTGAAAGATGAAGACTTCTGTGCACCAATAAAACCAATGGAAAATGAAAAGCCAACGAGTATGGAAACCATCTACACCAAGTGTGAAAATGATACAACATACCTACGGCATAAATGTCTGTGAATGTGAGGAAAAGCATTACTCCCTGAAAATGGACAGGAGAACATGAAGAAATAATTCACAAAAGCCAACGTAAAGTAATAATCATGAAAAGATCTGTCTTTCCTAAAGCCTCCAGGACATGCCAATTAACATATCCATGTATAGATCCAAACATTTGATGACACACAAATGGCAAAACTGGCTTTCTAATACAAAGACGGCGAATATAAAAATTTAAATATCTTTTTGGCTTAGTAATCCTACTTTTAGGCACTATTCTGATTTATGTATAGGAATGGTCCTTTCAATATTAGGCAAAAAGCAGGAAGCAACTTGATTTAACTTCAACATTAGAAGTAAATTGTGACACATCAAGATGATGAAATACTGTGCAGCTTTCAGGAAAGGCCCGTAGAAAAGCTCACACGGCAGCAGGGAGGCCGTCTATAGAGAGACACATTAAGAGACTAAGGAATGAATTTAGTGTTAATTATGAGGTTCCTGGGTGGCATCGCTGTGTTAAAATACTCCCAGAATTATGATAAAATGAAAGTTATAAAACAAACCATCATAGCCTCAGTATTCCAATAAAGCAGGGACCAGACTGGAGTGGAAGCTGAGGAAAGGGAATATATTTAAAATTGAAAGTATTAGATCTCAGACCTGATATTCAGAAGACCTGGTATAGGAAGATTCCGTTGTCATGAAAAAAAAAAGAAAAAGAATAAGAAAAAGAAAAAAAGATAGCCCCCCCAATCAATAAGCCCTTTGATTTTAGAGGTTAAAGACATGTGATGGAAGCTATTAGTGAATCAGTCCATATTCAAAACACAAAAAACAACAAATCTCAAGATCTGCACCAAGGGAGTTACCCTCCCCCCTTGAATTGTCATTGGGGGTTGAGAAGCAATCTCAGGATCTGAACGTTTCTCATATTTTATAATATTCTTTTAATTAAAAACATGGATCTCTCTTCAGTGTTTACTGAAGTCTCAGTGTCAGTTCAGCTGCTGCTCCCAGGGACTTGTTTGTTTAGCTGCCTATTTCTAGAGAACGATGTGTTCCCAAGCCACAAACACTTGCTCTGGCTAGCCTGGGTATTTCTAACCCGTTAGACCAGCCTTACCTTCATCAGTTTTTGAGGCCAGAGATATACAGAGTATTGCTTCAGAGAGTCAAGGGAAGAACAGAGAATAAAAGGTAGATCACAGCCAGGAGGGGGGCGGGGAGGGCCAGAGACACCTAGTGACTGTTTTCCCCTTTGCATGAGGCTAGAATCTGAGCAGCAAATAGCCCTGTCGCGGGAGGCAGTGGGCATCCGAGCCAGCTGTGGTGCTTGTGGGGGAGGTACTTACAAAAAAGAAGGTGCAGAGCCCACGGGCACACTCATGAAAAGGTGATGCAGGAAATGAGGTTCGGTCAGTTGATTCTTTCTTCTGGCTGGCTTTCTAATGTCAGGCTCCAGAAACTAGGGCAGAGGAGAAAAGTGGCCAGCAGATGCAGCTCAGTGCTGATGGCCGGCCTGCATTCGCAGTTGTGTCTAAGTAAACAGCTCTCTGAACTTTGGTACATTTGTGCTGACTGATGTCACTATCAGCTGATTTCACTTTCGTTTCTGAACTTGCCGGTAGCTTGTGACTTTTCAGAAAAAAGGAATGTAAGCAACTTGTTGCTCACCAGAACACATGAACCACATCGGAGCCCACAAATCATCTGATCGGAGGAGCCAGGTAAGGGTGTTGATGTGCCACAACGGAACTCCTGAAAGAAAGTACAAGCGGACTCCCAGAATGCCCAGTGATTCAAACTCAGATGACACAAACCTAGACTTTCTCAGGGGGCCCTTAGGTCACCTGGTTAAGCGCTAAACAGCGCAGCAAGGGGGACCCAGGTTCCCTCCTACTCATTCCTTTGGGAAGCAGCTAAGCCATGGCTTCTCTTTTCAGAAATCAGCTTGTAGAAGGAGAGAGTTCTCTCTCACTAGGGTGTTTAGGCCCAGGTTGGAGCATCAGGAACAGCGATCTCATTTCAAAATAAAAGTGGAAGAAAGCTTTAATTTTGAAATCACAGGGACTCTTGGCTCCAGTTTACAAACTGCCTCTTTTGCTCACATGGATGGAACTTTAGACTGGCCGTTAAGCTTGGAGAAGTCGGTAGACAGTTACCTAGTCATGCTGAATTTGTGGTTTCTCTCCTTCCCCATGACATGCTATACCCAGCTGGAGTCTTATTTCATCCTGGGGATTCCCTTTGCCTTGACCCTAGGACCTCCAATTTTCGTGCATCAAAGCTTTTCTTTATGTACTCAGTTTTGATGAATAAATCTTTAGTGATTTCTTGAGAAATGGGGGCACCAAAGGTAATTTTTAAAGTTTTCCAAGCTGAAAATATCTTTATTCTATTCTCAAACTTGATCAAAGTTGGACTGGGTATAGCATTTTAAGTTAAACATTATTTTCCTTTACAGTGTTGAAGGTTTTGTTCCATCCTGTCTACCTTTCCTGTTATTGCTGAATTTAGTCATTTCTGTTCCTTAGCCTTTAAATAGATATTTTTAATATGTGTATGAGTGTAATGCATGCATGTATGTAAGTACAGCTGTGTTGTATGATGCCCATGAAGGTCAGGAGAGGGCGTCAGATCCCCTGTAACTGGAGTTATGGACAGTTGTTAGCCGCCACGTGGGTGCTGGGGATTGAACCTGGGTCCTCTGCAAGAGCAGCCAGTGCTCTTAACTGCTGAGCCGTCTGTCCAGCCCCTGCTCCTTAGCCTTTAAAATGGCCTTTACACCCACCTTTGTTCTTTTAGCTTTTGCCATTAGAAAAAAGTTCATTTTAGTGATGTCTTAGAGAGGGAAAAATTAAATGTGCATCCAACTTGCCATTTTTAACTGGAAGCCTAAATCATTGCCCCCCCTTTTCTTTCTTTCCTTCTTTTTTTCTGTGAGATGTGGTCTCGCCATGTAGCCCTAGCTGGCTTTGAACTCTCAGAATCTTCCCGAGTGTTGGGATTGCAGACATGCACATTTTTGCTTCCTTTCTGTTTTTGTTTTTGTTCCAGTAGGACTTCCTTGTTGTCTCCTCTCTGGTGATCTAGCTGCTGTATGGTTGAGCTTGCTGCTTTTAACAAGCAACTAACCTCTTACTGACAAAGTCTCGGTCGTTTGGACAGCACTTTCAGCCTTGAACTTCCCCACACTCTATACCAATTTGGTTTACTTGGAGAGTTTCAGAGCTCTTTGCTCGCGTGCATTCCCCCCAGACATATCTGAGCTATTTCTGCTCTTTGAGCAGCAGCTAGGTGGGGCAGTAGTCTGGTCTTTTCAGTTTGACAGTTCCTACATGGAACCTCCATCTCATGAAGAAGCTGGGGCAAAGGTGACTGGACTTCAGTCTGTCTAACCTGCTGAACTTGGCGAGGAACCTTTGTCCTATGGTTGGGTGGAGAAGGACAGTCTCTGATCTCCTGGTTGCATGTATGTGGAATTTATAGGCTCTGCAACTTGGAGGTAGGAGTGAAGGGAGGGAGGAGGTCACAGCTGGAGTGGCACAAACCTTTGCTGTTCTTGTGGGGATTTAGTACGTTTCCTCAAATGCACATCTTTTAATTTGTTGGGTTTTTAAAAACTATTGTTATTATTATTATTACGATGATGATGATGATGATGTGCATGTACGTGTGTACCATCACAAGCTCGTGAAAGTCAGAGCACAACTTGTGGGAGTCAATTTTCTCCTTCTACAATGTGGGTCCCAGAGATCCATCTCAGGTTGTCATGCTTGGTGGCGAGTGCCTTTATGAATGAGTCATCTTGCCAGCCCTGATGTTTTTAAGCCAATTTCTAGAGACTTCGAATGGGTTTTTCTAAAACATACACTTTTACCAGTTTTCATTTTTCACTGGTGAGTAGGTGAGGAAACATTCAGACTGTCATTCTAGGAGTGAATCTCTGCCCTCTCGTTATTTTTATATTTCTAAAAAGACTTTAAAATTTTAGGTTTGTATCAAAAGTGAGAGGAGTCCACATTGCCCCCACCCATGCCCAGTGGGATCTAGATTTTCTCTTGGATTCTCTTCCAGGAGTTTTATAGTTTTGCATTTTGGGTTAATTAGTGTGAAGTGTGTGAGGTTTGTGTCTGGATTCCAGTGCTCTATTTTTTTGCATATGGGTGTTCAGTTGCTCTAGCACTATTTGTTGAAAGGACTGTCTTCGCTCTACTGTAGTGCCTTTGATCCTCTCTCAAGGATCAGATGATTATGTGGATCTTTTTCTGGGCTGTTCTGCTCTACCGGTCTGCTTCTTGATTTGGCCAACATTGGTCACTGTAGTTTTACAGAAAGTCCTGAAGTCACTAATGTCAGTCCTCTGACTTAGATCTCTTGCAGTAACATGTTGGCTATTTCTATATAAAATTCAAACCCAGCTTGTTAATATCCACAAAGTAAGAGGCCCAAAGACATTTTGACTTTTAGCCAAGAAACTGACTACTTTTCTTTGGGGACTTTTTACCCTAACTGCCTAGCTGATTCCTACCTCCTATTCTTATCACACCATCCTCTGAAGAGGTTATCCAAATTGCTGATAGGGAATCAGGATGTAGACTGCCCTAGCTTCTTCCATGCTGAACAGGGATGCAGGGTGAGGCAACTGGGGTACCCCTTCAGCAGGTCTATCTAAAAGACTCCCAAATTGCATACCTCTTATCTGTAGGGAGAAAAGAAATTCCTTGACTGGTACCTAGGAGATGTGAAGGAGAAGTAAAGGCAAGAGTAATTAGCATTACAAGTTCTAAACAGAGAACCAGAAAAAAAAGTCAGAATAGGGCAAATTTCAAATGTTCGTATGAGAGTCCATTGGAATTTCTTGACAAGGGCTTCCAAAATCATCCCTCTATTAGGTTCCTCCTCATTTTTCTCCTCATTTTTCTTTTGTCTGCCAAGGCTGGACTCAAGAGTGATGGATTCAGGATTTGCTTTCAGGTATTTTGGTAGCTGTTGGAGTGGTTAGAATCAGTGTCAGTTCCCTCTCAAAGGCTTCACCGTGTGGAGGTAGGATCCAAGGTGCTCCCAAGCAGTCCTCTGAGTCCTCAGCCCCTATGCCAGAGGGAGTCGGGAACAGGCACTCCGAGCTTACACCTTCTAAATCCAGGTTAAAAGCTAAATGTGATGGTGCTTCGGTGGTGAGATGGAAGCTAGAGACAACTGTAGGTTCTCAGCCAGTCTGGAGTACGCAGTGCAGCAACAGAAACAAGACAGACCCCACCTCAAGGTGGAAAGTAAGTACTGACTCTCGAAAATAGGCCTGACATCTACATGTGCATCATGGTGTGTGTGTGTGTGTGTGTGTGTGTGTGTGTGTGTGTGTGTGTGTACATATGCGCAATAAGTAAAAGTTTTCAAATGTAATAAAGGGAAAATGCTACTAAACATATAGTTGAAATAAAAGGGATGTGAAATGTGGGGCTAAAATGAAGAAATGTTGGAATGGCTTCTTTCTGGGTCCTCTGAGGCTAGAGTCTGCCCGGTGGATGCAGTGTGTGTGTGGGGAAGGTTTGAATGTGGAGACTCTTACCCTTTCTACAACATAGGCTAGTGCTGAACCTGTACTAGACAAATGTCAGATACCTGCAGAGCTGTGTCACATCCAGGAATGTTTGCTGTCCATTCTTAGATTTGTAGTCTGTGGGCCAAGCAGTTTCTTAATGCATTCTCAATACTCTTCAGTTTATACACTTGGAGTGGTTAAGGTCCTACCAGGAGGGTTCTGAGTATATGAATTGGAAGAAACAAACACATGCTGAGTGAGATCTGCAGAGGTGGGCCAGTCTTTAGGCTTTCAATACCATTCAATAGTGAACGCCCTGCCGGAGGATGTAGAAGTCAAGTACTCTGTTGTAGCTTCAGGATTTTCAGTCCAGCCAGTAATGAATCTCAAGGCAGATAGGTGTCTTCAGAGATTAGATCACCCACTGATCTCAGGCTCAGGGTTATCAGACTGCAGTTATCTTCAGGTGATGGTCTTAAGCTCTCAGCCACTGAGGCTAGGGTTACTGCCCACTGTACTCTTCAGTACCAGAGCCAAGCTAACTTTTCAGCATTTAGAGCCACTCAACTTTTCAGCATTTAGGCCTCAAGCCCTCCCTCTATCCACCACTGCCTCTTCCAGCTCTCTCACCCTGGGACTGTGGCAGGTTCACCTCAGGCTCCTTAATTTGTGAATCTTACTCCTTATATCAGGCCCCAGGGCAGCTAAGTGTTAAACAGTCGTTTCCTTCTCCAGATGGTACCCAGCCACAGGCATTCAAGACATGGAATGACAAAAAGATCTCTCCACTGCTGACCTTCCTGACAGAGATGAGTGCCACCAAAACCCTGTTAGAATTAAGGGCTGTGAGAACTGGGGGCTTGTCCTGTAGGGAGAACTGCAGTCTGTTTTCACCAGGGCTGCCTGGTTTAGCTTTTTGATGAGGCTACTGCTTCCTCTCCCCTAGTGGGGATCTACACAGGTTGGAGCTGTCTGGATTGCTCCCTTCACTGCATCGCCAACCCCTGCCCGACTTCTCTGCACCCCCCCCCCAAACACAATCTATTTTATTGAGAAGACAGTTTTCTACCAGATGTTAAGGATTCCTGAGGAAATTTATGGTTGAAATCCCTTGAAAGTTAAAATTTATTCTCTTAACATTGCAATGAGCTCTTCTTTGATCTTTTTCAGCTACAGGAAATGTAGACTGTCCATCTCCCTGGTTCCATCCTATCCCGATTGGCTTGTGGCTTATATGGTTAGGGTACCACTGTAGACCCTGGACTGGCTATTTCCTCACTTCTTATCCTTATCCTGCTAACCTGCTGTTCCTTTGTGCGTCCTACAGGGATCCCTCCTTGTGCTCACTGCCTTTTTATTTTCACTTTTTGTGTGGTAGTGGGGATTGAACCTAGGGCCTTCTCCATGTAGTTCTCTGTCACTGAGTCACTGAGCTGCACCTCCAGGTTCTTCCCCATCCTTTTCCCCTTAAACCTTTTCTTTTGAGACAGGATCTCAATAAGTTGCTCAGACTGCCCTTGAACTCACTTTGTAGCCCATGCAGGTTAAACTTGTGTTCTTACTGAGTTAACCTCCCAAGTAGCTGACATTATAGCCTGACTGCTCACTGCCTTCTGACAGACAAAATAAATGCGAGCCACTGGACTTGCTCCACATGAATAAATAGTTGGAAACTCACAAACTTTTGGAGGAACTGTACTTCTAATTTTGTACAACTTTGCTGGATGATGAGGATGCTTTTTTTCCTGATTTATGACAATAAGGGCAAACTGAATTTCAAGAGCTCTTACTTTTATCACAGTATCAGTTACCAAAGATGAAAAATTTGACTTTTAAACCATAAATGTATCTCCATGTCAACTGGTGCCACACTTTGGTCTGTGCAATTAGTTATCTTTTAATATATGCCATTTTATCAAATGGAGGTAGGCAAATTAGTGTTTTACTGTGCATTGTTATTGTTGTTATTATTTTGCTGTTTTGAAATGTAACCCAGGCTAGCCTTGAACCCAGGCTCCTCCTGCCTCTGCCTCCCAGGTGCTGGGATTACTAGTATAAACCACCATGCTCAGAGATCATATGTCTTTACAGGAGCAATTACATGATGATCTTCTAGAGGGAAGAAATGTTTATTTCACCCATGGTTCCTAGCTCACCAACCACATAGAAGAAATTCAGGAACTAATGCTTGCTGCTGATTCATCAAAGTTGACCAATAGGCTAAAACCAGTAATAGGGCATGCCATTTCTCTCTTGAACTTTTAGTTTTTGCTGTTATATGCATCTGTAATTTTGGAAGAAATCAAAAGTTTAAGGCTCTTTTTCATGTTGATACAAATTAAATATAAATGTGTTTTTATTTTTATTTTTATTTTACATTTTCTCTAGGTTTTTTAAATCTCTGAAAGATGGGATATGTAGAATTTGGAGCTTGGTATCTGCATATGCATGAGAAGGGGGTGGGACTAGGAAGAGGAAAGGTGTGTCAGCATGTCTCCTCTCAGTTTTCAGAGCAGCATACAGCTACTAGCTGTCGCCTGGGGACTTTGCATGGCAGGTGAGCTGGTTTGGTTTCTCATGGTTATGATTAGTTAGATGAGGAAGTATCTGCTCACAGCTCTTTAGGTTGGATTCTTCAAGTTGAAGACTTTTACCGTTTACATCTGCATCCATTTTAGAACTTGAGGGAACAGCCTGCAATTTGCTACTGGGAGGCATCATAATTTCAGTGTTTTTGGCCCAGATTTGAGAACATTTTCTCTTCTTCTTGAGACTGTGGAGATGCGACAGACTTTGAAATGACCTGTGGGGCACAGATGGGAACCATTCTGAGGCGTGTGTCACAAGATTCCTTTGGATTTTAAAAGGGAGATTTCTGGATGGTGTCCAAGACTTGCTGAATCGTCTTATATTTATGCAAGTAGTTGGATTTAGTCTAGAAAAGAATGAAATGTGTGAGATTTTGCCCAGTGTGTACCTATGATGTGGTCCTAGGTACACTATCACTACAGACTGTATTTTCCCTTTGGTGCTCATCGCCCCGAGACTCACCATCATCGTCTGAGACTCATCTAAATCTTCATGGTTGATCATGATGCTTTGGTACTGCTTCATTCCTGTAGTCTAAATGCTTGGAGGTTATGATTATCTGGAAAACTGCTCTGGACTCACCTCCCTACATCTGGTTGAAGTAGAATTAGAGGGTCTCTAAGATTCCCCTTTGACAGAAAAATTTACTCTGCTTATTCAATTAGAATAGTTCCATTACACATGCTGGAATATTTTTAGACAACCAGTAAAAGGGCCAATAAGTCCAAGAGATGGAAGTTTTCCTCAAAAGAGGGAGATTTAAAAATTCTTTATTGTAACTACTTACAATCTATTGTTCTTCAGAATCCTCTTTGTGTGTGTGTGTGTGTGTGTGTGTGTGTGTGTGTGTGTGTGTGTGTTTGAAGCAGGGTCTCCCTGTAGCCCCAGCTGTCCTGGAACTCATTATGTAGACCAGGCTGGCCTTGAACTCACAGAGATCTGCCTACTTCTGCCTCTCAAGTGCTGGGACTACTTTTCAGCCACAGAATTTCAGCAGTACTTTAAGCTTTAAAATTCCGAAGTGATTGTAGACTCATATGTGTTTGGAAGAAGTAATAGAGACAGACTACATGTACCGTTCACCCAGACTCCTCCAGATGCAACAGTTTTTAAAGCAACAGTGAAATAGACAATGAGCACATTGGCATTGATGTGGTCAAGATACAGAACCAGGCCCTCATGCTGCCCTTACAATGCTTGCTTCTCTCCCTCTTTTGACTCCTCGAAACCCTTAACCTGTTGCTCAAATTATAGCACACTGTTATTTCAAGAACGTTACATAAACAGAATCATTTAATATGTAACCTTCTGGAATTGACTTTTCTCCCCACTCAGCACAATTTGCTGGTGATTCATTGCTGTTCTGTATATCCTTTATCCCTTCTAAGTAGCAGTCAGTGGCATGGATGTGCCGAAGTTTAATGATCCATCCAAAGACAATATGAATCATTCCCAGTTATTACACATAAAGTTGAATAAATATTTGTGTGCAGGTTTTTGTGTAAACTTGTTTGCATTTTACTGTGATTAGTTTCTGGGAAAAGCTGCTGATTATACAGTAGTTATGTATTTATTTATTTTTCAGTTTTATTTTTGAAAGGGACTTTTGCTATGTTTGTTGTTCAGCTGGTCTTGAACATACAGTCCTTACAGTGCCGGGATTACAGGTGTGTGCCACGGTACCCAGCCCCTAGAAACTGTTTTCCAGAGTGATTCTCCCCCAGTTTTTGTTCCCATCAGCAATACCTGAAAAAATTCAATTTCTCTGCATCCTCCCTGGCACATATGGCTTTATTCTTTTTAATTTAGTTATCTGATAGGTAAGCAGTGATGGCTCATTGTCTATTTAACTTGCATTGGCAATGCTGATCTTTCCGTGTGCTTATGTGACACCCATGTATTGTTTAGTGAAATGTCTACTCATGCCTTTTGCCTTATTTATAATAAAATGTTTGTTTTCTTTTTTTGGAAGATTTGCTTTAATTATGTGTGTGCCTATGTGTTTGTGTGTGGGGGGGGTATGTGCGTGTGAATGCAGGTGCCTATGGATGCCAGAAGAGGGCATCAGATCTCCTGGAGTTGGAGTTACAGGCACTTGTGAGCCACCGAATGTGTGTGCTGGGAACAAATGGGCACAGTCTTCACCACTGAACCATTTCTCTCCAGCTCTGAAATGTTGGTTTTCTGACTGTTGAATTTTGAGTCTTTCATGTATGTGTGTACATGTTCACGTGTGTGTGCATATGTATAATGATGCACATGCACACAAGTGGAGGCTAGAGGTTGGCATTATGTATCTTCCTCAATTGACCTCTGTATTTTTTTTTCTTTGACTGAGGGTCTCTGAACCTGGGGTCACTGTAGGATTCAGCTCCTTACGTATATGTATTTGGTTGGCAAAAAGGGTCCCTAAGATTCCGCTTTGCTATAGAAATGTACGCTGCTTACTCTGTTAGAGTAGTGTAATCATACAGCAAGCCCCGGGGAGCCTCCTGTCTCTGCCTCTCTAGTGCTAGGATTACAGGCATGCACCACCCACTCAGCTTTTTACTTGGGTGCTGGAAGTTGAACTCAGGTCTTTATGCTTGTGTGCCAAGCACTTTACATACTAAACCATCTCCTGGAGGGCTCTTTAATCAAGACAGTAGTATTTTGTTGATATCATTTACAAGTATTTTTCTCACAGTATTTAAACATTATTTTTATTAATTATTTTTATGTGCATGAGTGTTTTGCCCACACATATTGTAAGTGTACCACATGCATGCCCACAGAGACCAGAAGAGGTTTTCTGATTCCCTGGAACTAGAGTTACTGGTTGCTATCTGCCATGTGGGTGCTGGGAATCGAACCTGGGCCCTCTGGAAGAACAGCAAGTGTTCTTGGCCACTGAGCCATCTCTCTAGGCCCTCTTACAGTGTTTTTAATACTCCTTTTTTGTTGTTTTGTGTGTTGGGGACTCCTGCTGTTTTGGGTTGTAGTCTTTCCATGTCCAGATAGCCACATGCTGGCTCAGCACGAATGGAAGGACTCCTCTTCTCAGCAGGGCGCCCCCCTGCTCTCTTCCTGACTCATCTTTGAAGTAGCCGCCACAGATACATGGCCTCTGGCATAGGAACTGCCAGGTTTTCCTGTGTGATAATCAGGCAATGTCTGGCAGCCTGGTGGAAGCCCACCACCACATGTAAATGGGGCATCCTAAAAACACCTATCAACTAAGGCTTTTGCCAATGCCCCCACAGTATAAATATCCTGGTTTCCCCTTAATAAATCGGAGTTGCATCAGAAGCTGTGTCTGAAGCTGTATCATTGAATCCTGCATCTCCCCGGAGGGGGCTGTCTCTTCGTAAACAACGACTCATGGAGATTCTGCTTTCGCTGTTCCCGCATCTCCCCACGTGGTCCGGCGGCCGGTGGATCTCGTACCTCGAGGGAGTGCCTGGTAGTTTGGAACGCAACCCTCCTGGGCAGCTGACAGCGGTTCTCTAGAGCCGCCAGCCTCGGTAGCTGTGGAGAGCTTCAGCAACGCGGAGAAACAGGGACCCGCCCCAGGAGAGCCAGGGACCCAAACAGCAGACGCGGTGCGCGACCCGCCGCACCTCAGCGGTGCACAGGAGACCGGCACCACACCCAGCAGCTGGCGCTCTGAGATCCCTGCGAGCCCATATCTGGTGCCCAACGTGAGAGCCTCCGAACTCCGCGCCAGCCAGCAGCTGGCGCCCCCGGAAACACAGAATTCGTGAGTATCTCTCCCACCAGGAGAGCAACAGAAATCTCTCTTTTTTTTCCTTCATCTCCCATCAGGAGACTAAAAAAGGCGGCTGTGCCTACAAGCCTCCCCACCCGTGGGGCTTGGCAAATCTTTTTTTCTTTCATCTCCCATCAGGAGACTAAAAAGGCAGCTGTGTCCCCAAGCCACCCCACTCATGGGGCCTGGCAAATCTCTCTTTCTTTAGTCTCCCATCAGGAGAATAAAAAGGCAGCTGTGCCCCCAAGTCACCCCACTTTTTCTATCTCAACACCGCTAGAAAAGTCCCAAAAATTCTAAGGAATCTTCACGTAAGCCTTGGAGTCAGCTCCTAAGGTAAAGTTCCCTAATCGGTTTTGTTACCCTGCCCCCAGGGCATTCAAACCATAGCTAAAACCAGTTAGATGAGAATTTAAATTAACTAGCCCCTGCGGAGCACCTGAAGGCTCAAGGTGGCTCGCTTCAAACAAAAGATTTAAAAAGGCCATTTTTTTTTCTGCAGTCTAAGGCTTGTGCCTGTCAGAGCGTTCCAATCCCTTAGTGTCAGGCTGCTGCAGGAACGTTAAATGCTAAAACAACGCTATTTTTCTTTTTATAATGGGTAATTCAACATCATGCCAGAGAAAACTCCAAATTCGTTCCCTTAAAGCCTTACTTAAATCAAGAGGACTTAAGATCTCCCAAAAAAGAAAGCTTAAAATTTTGGAATGAAGTATATCAATTTGTGCCCTGGATCCTATCAGCAGACATTTCTGATCCAGAGGTCTGGACTAATATTACATATCTGGCTCGTAAAAAAGAAATCCAGGAAAAGCATAATTTCCCTCTTTCCTTTTTCCCCATAATAGCAGCCATCCATCAATGCTTAGGACAAGTGTCAGAAAATAATAAAGGGGAAGGTTCAAACGATAAAAAAAGACCCTAAAAGTTGCCAGTAGCAGATTCAACAGAAGTCAGACAAAACCTACTCATCAGCAAAATTAATCTTT